TTCCCCTCATTTTCCTGTTCTTAACTAAAAATCTTGGAAGGAAGGTACAGCCTGTTCCAAAACATACGCTTGCATGTAAACAAACAATCTGGCGGTTCCAGAAATTACTCCAGCTCATCCCAGTTTCCTGAAGTTCTAATCTCAGGTTCTTCGAAGTCCTGTGGCTGCAAATTATACAATACGCTTCAATCGACATGAGGTAATCTACAGGACATTTCATTTGGACGTGAGATTAAACCACGCGAAACTTGTAGGGAAGAAAAACAATGTGCTTCTCTTTCTCGGTGCACGCACATACTTACTCACACAAATATTCAGTTTCCCAGAATTAGATCCACCCACAGTTCAACGAATGTGCAGAAAAATTCATAAATTCCTGTTTTCCCACTGAAACAAACAACCTTGTGTCTTTTTTTCCTCCTCTCCATTACTCCATTGCTGTGTGTTAGCAAGTTCTACTCCTACTCAGCTGAGCACTCAAAGCACCACTCTTAGCACTGGTTAACATTTGCACTCTGATATATGCACCGGGGTCAACTCATAGTTCTGTGCGTCGCCCAAGGATACTCCAGAATGAGAGCCTCTGACCGTCAGCATGTTAGATGCCCTGCTCTATGGGTACAGTCCAAATACATGCATGTTAGGTTAACTGGCGATTCTAAACTGGCTGCTGATGTGAATGTTTCCAGGTGGGTAACAAACTGCTTGGTGCATGGATAATAATAATAACAGCAATCCAATTTCAACCATGAGCCCATGCCACCATTGTTAACTCATACTGAGTAAAACTTTATGCAGAGAGTTGCTAACGCTGCTTTGCTGCTCTCCTCTGCTCTCTGTTTTGCTCTGGAAGCATATATGAAAGTTTGCACTCAAAAAAGTCAATCACAAAATTAAAACCGACCCCTCCGTCACACAAGAATCGTTAGCCCACGCTAAGCCCACTGTCGTGTTGAGTCTCTGATGCGGCTTTGCTGCTCACCTCTGCTTTCTGTTTCAGTTTATGTGAAAATATGAAAGCTTTCAAGAAAAAAAAAAAGAAACGAAACAGTCACAACCATTAGTCCGTGCTTGAACACTAAAGGATGCTGAATGGCTGTGATACGCTGCAGAAAGCCCACTGATGCAAAGGCCAAGCCCTTTGACAAGAGTCTGCTCTATAAACCGTCAGGCGAGGAGAGCAGCAAACCCCAGCGCAGAGCTGAAATGGAAAAAAATGGCCCCAGCGCAGGTTTTGCGTTCACTTTAACGCTCTGTATAATTATATCCAGAGCTACCAGTTACAAAGGAAAGAATTCACATGTAGATGAACTCGTTACCAAAACAGAAGTCAGAGAAGTTTTTGTTATGACACGAACAGAAGGAGTGTAACCTCAATTACTCCACTATATCACAACTGTGTGTACAGACAAGTGGCTGTCTCATTTCTCAGCTACAATGCCAGTAACTGCAATCAGCATACTTTCCTTACAGGTACTAATCAGTTACGCATCCTTTAGTGATCTTTACAACTAAATCATAAATCTACCAGTAGACATTGTCACCTTGTTGATTGTTAAGAGGAACCTGTTTGTGAGCACTTTTTATTTCCTCCAAGCTCTCACAACTGGGTCACTATGTCAGCGATAAAGAGGACATCCTCAAAACGTATGGGAAAAACTATATTGTTCAGGGAAAGTAAGCAGCTGTTAGGAAAGAAGAGGGTTTTTAAGCGAACATGTCTGCTGTTTTGATTTTATCAGAAAGGGTTTTTGTCACGTATCTTAAATAAAAGCTGGAACACAGATCTCCTTCAGTTGGCGTTAATTAGACGTTTTCTGAGATTTTTTTGTGCAGGAAACTTTTCAAACGTACACAATTGCATGCTTGAGATAAAAAAACACACGCACAAACACTTTGAAAGGAGATGAAGTGAACTTTATTTTTGTTCCATGCAAGCTATGTTTTCCTGCTGTTGACCATCACAGTTTTAAACAGGGCTCCCAACAGCTAGCTTATGCACAACTCACTGCACAGTAAATATGCTGTTTGCATAGTTATAGGGGTATGTCAGGCAGAGTGAGATGTAAGGGGAGAGACAGTTGAGGGTGTGTGTGTGTGTGTGTGTGTGTGTGTGTGTGTGTGTGT